AACTTTTTTGTTTTCTGAGTATGCAAGTATTGAATTAATTGGTACTATACTGTACCTGAGTCTGTGATAAACACACCTACCTTTAACATATTTGTCGTGTTTTTGCTTGTTTTTAAGTGCAAGAGCCCAAATGAAACACTAAGACCATGTGAGGTACATCAGAGCAAGTTCCCTTATGCCAAAAAGGAATGCTCAATTTTATACAGTGATATTTTTGCGCCTTGTCGCAATGTGGTAAGTTTATTAAATATCCAAGATGTGCTATCATGTAGGAAAATAATAACATTCCAGTAATTAATTTCTTTTTGCTACTCCCCTCAGTCTGAATGCCAGGGAGGATACAGAGTAAAGCCCTGCAAGTATCTCTGTGTGGGTGGGCTATGTTTGTGCCGAGCTCCTTGTTCCTTTCAAGACTGGAGCCTAAACATGATGGTGATAACTGGAAGTTGTGAGTTAGTAGGCTGAATAATCAAGGTTCTGTTTTCTTTAGGTTTTATTTATATCTTATATTTATATAGGTAGCTAAATTTTTAAGCCTTTTGTATATATTGCAGTATTCTAAAATAAGTGTATGTATAATGTACTTACAGCTTATCTCAAATAGTTTTATTTTGTTAAGTGTCTTGCTCAATATAGAAAGAAATATGAGAGCAAAAGATTTCAGCTCCAGAGCTATCGGTATTTTTAATTGGTTGGCAGCTTATCATCTGCTTTTTATCAGAACTCTGAGGTTTGGTGTCCTTGTTTTCCCAATACCTGGCTGAGCCTGGAACTTGAGTTACAAGAATGTCCTTCAGTTCAGTCTAGACAAGATGGAGACAACAATAGCTTGTGTGGTAATCTTTTATTCCATTTTAATTCACTCTTTATCAATGCAAGACATGTTTTATACATTTTTCCTTATTTCTGATTTTAGCCTCCCAAAGGTATTTAGGTACTTTTTTAATACCTGTGCAAGCAAGAACCACTATAACATTTTGTCTCAGTCTCTTATTTTCTCTATGACTATTAATACTAAATGAGATCATTAGATGTCCCAGCTGAACCTCCTGACTTTCAGGACTTAAGTTTGATATCAACATGGTTAGGAATTTGCCTGTGTAGGAGGTTGCAGTAGCTTAACCCAAGAGATTTATTAATGTTGACTTAAGTTACTATGTAAAGCATTTTTTGAGCATGTGCCTGAGAACATAGTGATGAGTGTATTTTCAAAGTGGCAAGTAATACATAAAAATGGAACTTTTGAGAGTTTTTAAGAAGCTTTATTATTATAACTCATAAAGAAAGGTGTTTTCTCTAGAACATTGATTTTTTTATCTCATCCATGTTGTGATTAAAATTTGCAAATATTATGCCAAAAGTTTAGCATTATGTTAAAAAACATATGTCAGGTGCAAAACATGTAATTTTATTAGCAGTCAAGTATTTTCACATGTGTATATCTACCTTGCATGGGACAGCCTGCAAAGCAAACATCTTTAATGTGTTTTCAAAACCTACTCATCAGCATGTGAAAACAGAGCTCTTACAAATGTATTGTAAAGGGACCTCCTGTCAAGGTCAAGGTTATCTGCAGCTGCAAGGGTGGGGAACTGGATGCCAAGAAAAAAAGCCCAAGGAAAGACTGACATTGGAGGCATGGAAAGAATAGAAAATATAGATGTGGGTTTCAGGATGTGCTTGGATCAGCACTCTTACTGTTGCTCCTGTTATGGTGGTGATGGAGGATCCTGCTATGCATGGAGACAAGCTCCTGCCTGGGGGACAGGTAGCCTCAGAGTTCAACTCTGCCTGGAAAGCACAGTTTTCAGGGAGACAAAACCTTGCATCTCTGGCTGACAGCAACTGATGAATTGCAGTTGCCCAGATAAGCACTGAATTCAGCAAGGTCTGAGAAGCCTCAACACTTGCAAAATAATTGTCTTCCTCATAATTCCTGAACTCAACAGAAGCTTTGACCGGAGGCTCCCAGTTTGTCACAGCAGCGGGATATTGCTGATCCATGGAGAGATGCCATCCTGCAGGCATGAGACAGGTTGAGGTTTTTGCAGCCAGTCTGCGGTTTGGTGATTCCTGCAAAGCTACCACAGCCATTTTCAATTGAGCTAATGCTCATGTGCATTGCCCTTGTCCCCAGTGGTATCCCTGTTTGAAAAATCAGAAAAAGAATGAAAGAGAAATGGCATCTCTCTCCGCTGAAGGCAGAAAAACAGTCTTGATCCAATTCCTCTCATATTCTAGCAACTGCCAGCTGAGAAACTGTCTCCATGTTAGATAAGTGCTGCTTTGTTACTGTGATGGTATTTCTGTAATCTGATGTGTGCCATTTGAGTACTTTACAACTCAGCTAGACCAGAGCCTAAACCAAAGAAAAGCATTGCCTTAAACATTCCATGTATTGAGTAAGAGCACTGTTTTGGAAACATTGCTCAACATTACAAAAAAGATGACGTAAACTCAAGAAGTAGTATATCATGTAAAACCATGAAGTAGTGGTAGGATTTTAGAGTGAGGAAGTGAGTTTCTGATCTAATGAAGTTTTGTGGGCAAATTGTATTAAAATCTTGCTAAGTGCAGAAATATTTTTTCTTCAATATGTCACTAGTGTGCTTGAGTTTTATTTTCCTGGGCAAAACCCCCTCTACAAATGATTACTTTAATTACTTGGTAATGAGGGCCACAGCTCTGACTTCGTTGTTGTTCTTGCAAAACTGACAGGATAGCTATAGATGGCAGTATTTGCCTTATAAAAACAGAACTGCCAGCTTCAATATACTCTCCAAAACTGAAGGATAGTGAGTGTGGACAGACATGTTTCTTAGCTGTCACTGATTGAAATTTTCTTTTGACCTGTAATGTAGGTATAATCTGATCATTCAGAGTGTACTTTTTTTTCTTTGTATAGGAATATGCCCAAACTTTGGAAAAATATATTTTGGTGTTAAATTCTTCCAGTCCATACAGAAGTAGAACTCC